GAGAGAGAGAGAGAGAGAGAGAGAGAGAGAGAGAGAGAGAGAGAGAGAGAGAGAGAGAGAGAGAGAGAAAATGTCAGCAGCAATTCAACACAGCCTGTCACAACAAGCAATGGTCTAACTAACCAGCCAACCAAAAGGGGAGCCTGCTAAAAACAAGCATGCAATCGCTGACTTATTGAATCCAAGCTTAGTCAGGAGAACCATGACGAGAGGGAAGAAAGTTCAAGAAACAGATACGCACGCATTCATAAATGCGAACAAATACCTGCCGCATCTAAATTCCTTGGCTCCGAGAAACGCGGGTCGAGTTTTCCAGGACCAACTGTTTCCTGGGTTAGCCATGTCAACACTGGGTCATTGACCACTGAGAATTTCCTCGCACTAGATGGTCCAGCTCCACTCTGCCAGTTTTGCAGAATACGTGAAGACGCCAGAAAAGAAGGAAAAAGGAAAATGGTTCACTGAACTGTAAAACAGTAAAAGGACTTCTTGGTGTACCGTCCCTAAGGCTGAATTGAACACACCTTGGAACTGATCGCAAACAAGTCATGAGATCAACTCCATCTAGACACCAAAAACACTAGATGAAGTTTGACACAAAAAAAGATAAATAAACAAATACATGCATGCATAAACGTATGGAATACGTACTATGCAGATTATCTCATACATCGGTGGGAGTCCCCAATCAAACAGTGTGTCGGAGCCCCCCCCCCTTCATTTCAGGCATGACAAATCAGTTTGAACTTGGACCATTTGCATTCTCATAAGAATTTTAAGAAAACAATTGCAGCATGACAGACAGGATTGCACCATGGTTGTTTTGTCAGACCATGGTCTGATGATTCTGATCCCAGTTGACACAGGTCCAAAAAAAAACACATTGCACTGTGCACCTGAGTACGGATCCGGGCCGCCCGGCCGACCGGCGCCCGCCCGGGGGAGGTCCCGGGCGGCCTGGCCGGGCGGGCGGCCCGGTTGGGGGCCGGGCACCCCCAGCACACCTTGTTGGCGGGGGGTTTCGACCTCACATCGGGTGGTTTTGGCCTGCCCAGGGCCTACCGGGTCCGACCATGCCAAGAAAACGGCGCGTCGGGCCTGTGAGGCCTGTTTTTTTTTTTTGAATTTGGGACGGCCCTCTGGCCGTCGATCATCCATGATCGACGGCCAGAGCGCCGTTCGTTTTTGGAGGGAAACGGAGGCCCCGTTTGAACTAGCGACTGGCTGGGGCGGCCTGCATTGGCTGTCCAAACGGGGCCTCGATAGCTGCTCCAGCCGCCTGCGTTCGTGCTGCTACCCCTCGTCGAAGTAGCTGCCCTCGTCGCCATCGCCTGGGAGCTTCACTCGCCCGTCGTCGTCGTGTCGCCCGTCGCCAGCGTCGTCGTCGTATCGCCCGTCGCCCGTCGTCAGCGTCGTCATCGTCATCGTGTCGCCCGTCGCCAGCGTCGTCGATCGTGGTGATCCTGCCTGCCGACATCCCCTGCCGCCCGTCGACGTGGAGTGCCGGTCTTCTTCTTCTTCTTCTTCTTCTTCTTCTTCTTCTTCTTCTTCTTCTTCTTCTTCTTCCCTCCTCCTCCTCCTCCGCTCATTCTTCTGCTTCTTCTTCTCTCGTCCTCCTCCTCCCCCTCTCTTCTTCTTCTTCTTCTTCTTCTTCTTCTTCTTCGTCTTCGTCTTCGTCTTCTTCCTCTTATACTTCTTCTTTTCTTCTTCCACGACTTCTTCACTCCTCCTCCTCCTCCCCCTCCCATCTTATTCTTCTTCTTCTTCTTCATCTCTCGTCCTCGTCCTCCCCCTCATCTTCTTCTTCTTATTCTTCTCTCCTCCTCCTCCTCTTCCGACTATCTTCTTTTTCTTCTTTTTCTTCTTTTTTTTTACATTCGTTAGCGATAGGTCGCGAGATAAACGACAGGTAAGAAAAAAGAAAAAAAAACTGCTCCGCTCGTCTTCTTCTTCTTCTTCTTCTTCTTCTTCTTCTTCTACTCTCCTGCTCCTTCTCCGATCATTCTTCTGCCTCTTGTCTCCTCCTCCTCCTCCCCTTCTCATCTTCTTCTTCTTCTTCTTCTTCTTCTTCTTCTTCTTCTTCTTCGAGTTCTTCTTCTTCGACTTCTTCACTGCTGCTCCTCCCCCTATCATCTTCTTCTTCTTTATCTTCTTCTCTCCTCCTCCTCCTCCCCCTCATCTTTTTCTTCTTCTTCTTCTCTCCTACTACTCTTCCCTCCGCCATACCCCGCCGTGATACCCCCACGCCGCCACCATACCCTAACGTCGGCATAGTACATCTTCTTCTTCTTCTTCTTCTTCTTCTTCTTCTTCTTCTCCTCTCGTCCTCTGCCTCCCACTCATCTTCTTCTTCTTTCTCTTCTCTCCTCCTCCTCCTCTTCCGCCCATCTTCTTCTTCTTCTTCTTCTTCATCTGCAAGGAACATGAATATGGACGAAGCACAGAAATCCAGATTGCAAAATCACACTGAAGTCCAAGTAGTCAAAGCCAGAGCAGATAGCACAATGG